GCACCATTGCTCACCCCTAACATTGGCCTTCACATAATGAGCTGTGGTACCTCTCCGTGCCCTGCCACAAGCCAGCTGCAAAGCCTTCATCCATCCATCCCCCTCCTCCTGCCCACTTTGTGTGTCCATGCCCTCCAGGAAAGGAGCAATGGTGGCAGTGCCCCATCCCACGCATCTCCTTCTACCCCATACCAGGCAATGGGGGTACATGATTAAGGTCTGGAGCTTGCCTCCTGCCAGGGGAAAGCTTGCCACAAAGGCCCCAATTCCTCCTCTCTATTGATATGAAGTGATTAATTATGTGAGGCAGTGTTGCTGTTTCTAATCAAAGGAAACTAAAATCAGAGCTCTCGCCTCAGCCAAGGGAAGTGCTGAGCTTGTGCAAGGGTGCACAGCCCATGGGGCAGCTCTGCGGGGCTGTGCTGCTCCCAGCCAGGATTCAGCCCCCTCACACAAGCACAATCACTGCTCTTGGAGTGGGCAAAAAGGATGCTGCAAGCAAAGGGACATTCTTCTTCCTGACCCCATCTGTCACAGCACCTCAGTGAGCCCACGTAGGATGGGGACAACCCCATGCACACAGAGGGGGTGACCAGAGCATTCCAAACCACCCCTGCAAGCGAGTTCAACCTGCACAGGAGGATGCTGAGACTGGCATCCCTTCTCCTCCAGAAACCACGTCTACTTGAATGCACAGGCAAGATTGAAGACCTGAACAGAGGAGCACCTTGCATTTCCAAAACGGGTCAAAGACGACTTCTTTTTGCACCAAGAAATGCAAATAAACTCAGCAGAGCTGGTTTCCTCCCAGCAGCCGCATCACTTGCGCATCTTCCACATCTGCTTTAGGGAGTCACAGTGTTTGGGGACCCTGCAGTGGGGTCCCTCAGAGCCACCCTCGCAGTGGGGGCCCAGCAGCAGTGTGCCGTGTCCCGGTTCAGACAGGTATTTATCCCATCAGGATGCTCACAGATAACTCATTTGGTTCGTTATTTCAGTAATTACTGTTTCCCTGCGAGCACTCTGCTGCTGCTCACAGGCTCCCAGAGCACACAGGCGGAGCTCAGCTTACCCCAACCATGTTGAAGCAGTGAACAGCCTCACCCAGCATCAGGGCAGAGGTTGAACCACAACAGCCCAGCTCGCTCCTGCGTTAGACACAAGCACCATGTACTCTGTTTTCTTCCTTACATTAATGGACCCCAGGGCTGCCTACACCTGATGGTGGTTATTTGTGCCCACATGTGGGATCCAGCCCATGCTCTCCATGACTTGGAAGCCACCACCGGGCACATGGTTGCAATTACAGCAGCCTCTCCCTCAGCGTGGGCATTTTCTTGTCTATTGGGGAATATGGCAGTTATTTTGTGTATGGAGATGGGAACCAGAGCAGAAGCCAATGGAGATGGTGCTGCTCAAGGGCTGTGCATGGTGCCAAAGGGCTTGGTGGGAAGGCAGGACACTGCGAGGAGACACTTGTGTCCCTCACAAGGGCTTTCTCCTCTGTGCTGGCTGGGAAGCAAGGCAGCCACGGGGCACCCTGAGGAAAGAAGCAGCATGGCTCTGGGCATCCTCAAGCATTGGATAAGCAGGGATTTGCAGGTTATCACTGGGAAGCACAGCAGTGTCCTGAAGGCCACCAGCATGCACCAAAGAAGCACCAGTGACCCTGGGGAGGAGCATTATTGCACCACGGGACAGACAAAGCTCCTCTTGGACACCCCAAGCACAAACACCAGATACCTTGAGGTGCTCCAGCACCCACAGGCACTCTCTGAGCACCACTGCACACAACCACAATGCTCCATTCCAGACTGGCCCTAGAGCCCCCACAAACAGCACAATGGATGCCCAACATCCCCAGCAGTACCCCCACATCCCCTTACCAGCCAGCTCCTGCTCTCAAACCAGGACAGCACTCAACACCCAGAACTTCAGGAATGATTTAGCCTCCCATCTCCCTGCATTTATAGCCTGCAGGTGCCCCACACACCCCAGCAGCACGAGCCCCACCTGAGGACACTGCAGCAGGCAGGGAATGGGGATGGATGGGGTGTTTCCAGGGCAAAGTTGGCTTCCCCTGGTTCTAAAACGTTCCAAAGCACTGTAAGATGAAATGTGTAATTGCAAATCAGCCCTGCTGCTCTCCTGCAGACCTAAACAGAGACAGGGGAGGTTTAATGTCTTCCTTTTGGACTTTTTTTTTTCTCCCCTCCTATGTTTGTTCTTTCCCTCCTGTCCTAAATTTGGTATAAAAGAAAAAGGAGTAAATAAAAGCTTTGGAAAGCTCTTGAAACCCTGCTCTTCCCGGCTTATGGAAAGGGAGGCCCAGGGCACAGGAACCACAAGGTTTTGGATAGCTGGATTCTCAAAACAAGAATAGGGTTAGAAATGGAAACTTTGGTTAACCGAGATGGGGATGAAAACTTCATTCCACACTTGGCAGCAACGCTGGGTCTCCATCATCCTCTTCACAGGCACTTCCCCCATGTATCCTGGTGCCCCAAAGGCATCTTGCCATTGTCCTCTGGGCAAGCAGATGTGGGCACACCAGGGCCCAAACTCTTGGGAGCTCCTTTAGGAACAATTCCCCAGGGAAGCACCAGTGGATTGGGTGCTCACCTGAGTTTTAAGCACATTCCCAGCAGCCTGGGGGTTAAATATCACCTTCCAGGTTTGGGATTCTTATCAATCCGAGGTAGATACAATAAGAAAGACCTAAAAGCATCCGTATGGGACCGTGTCCCCTCCCCAGCAGTCACAGGCACACAGAAGACATCTCAGCATCATCTGTTTAGAACTTTATTTCCTTGTGCAGAAAGACACAGGGTGATGCCTGTCCCTGAGCCTCTGGGAGTGCTTCAGAACAATTCCTGTCCCTGTAACACCTCCCATGCACGGGGGTGAGACCCCCAAATCCTGCCCGCACTCATCAGCGGCAGCCCCAAAGCTGGGGTCCATGGGCTGACACTGATGAGCACAAAAGCCACTGCAAAGGGGGGTTCAGCTTAGGTTTCCCTATGAGCCCACTGCCTGTTATCAGGGGAAGGGGTCCCAAATATGCTCCATCAAAGAACCTACAATAAAGAGGCAGTTTCTTTTCCTTGGTAGTCCTGAGCTGTCAGTAAGATGGCACAAGAGCCGTGTGGTGTCTCCACTGATACCTTCACTATACCAATTGCTGATTCTTTCCTGAATCTAGGGGTTTTATTAGGTGGATGAGGCAGCGATGGCAACAGTGGCTTCTGCTCTGCCTAGACATGAGAAACACATGATACACTAGCACACTGTGGGATCTCAGTTAGGCTGGTGAAGGGAACCTACCTGACCTTGGGGAGCAAAGCATCTTAGTGGAGCTTCAAATCACCACTGCTCCAGCAATGCCCACCCTTCCTTTGCCTGGAAGCACATCACTCCTCTTGAAAGCACCAGAAACAACCCAAAACTCTGCCGTGGTGGGCATAAGGACATAGCCCTGTGCTTGATCTCCGAGGAAGAGCCTGGAGATTTCATCTTCCTCCTTCCTACCCCAAGCTGCTTTTATTGTCTTGATCTAATGAAGTGCAGACTTCACCTGGACAGACCCATAAGTGGCTCCTCTCGGAGGCAATGAATACAAATACTTGACCTCATGAGCTGCGGGGCAGCAATTAGTTTAAGCAGGGGGTTTGTGTAACACTTCAAAAGTCTTAATACTTGCGGTCAGCCCCGGCACCGTATTTGCCAGAACCTATTGAGTAGTCTTAATGAGTCTGCAAAGCAAGCTTTCAATACATTTTGGGTCGCTTCAGATGCTTTAAATGGCATAGTCTATATGGTATTGTGCAGCTTTAGAAAGGCCCGGGCTTTAAAAAAGTATGGGTCCCTTTCACAGGGCAGACAGAAACCATCTTTAGAGCCGGGACCCTTAACGTTTTGCATATCAATATGGCTGGGGCTGAATGCAGTCACTCAGCTGAGAAATAGGATCACTATCAGCGCTTCCAGGCTTTCACAGGCACTTGGGAAACTTTAAAGCCCTTGGTGGGGAATAATTTGGTCGAATGTCGGGGCTGGAAACAAAACCTAAACAAGCGGAGCGCAGTCCATCATGCGGAGCTGCCAGTGCTGGGGACAACGGGCTCCAGCCGCTCCACATCCAGCCCCCAGCGGGTCCGTGGCCTGAGCACTCGCAGTCCCAGGGGGGACCCTGCAATGGGCATGGGGTGCTGAGCCCACCCTGCATCGCTCAGAGGGCTCTGGGATGTTAATCAGGAGAAACAGCCCTGATTTCATCCCTTCTTATTATTCTTTTACAATATCTCCGTTTCTTAACCGGGGCCATAAAGACCCCAGGCACTGGCACCACAGTGATGGCATCTGTGTCTGTCCCTGTGCCTCTCACACACACATAGACCAACAACATGATGCTCTGAAACAGGCAACTGTTTGCATTTAACTCCAACATCATGTTAAGCCCATCCCTGCACATCACTCGTCCCAGGGGATGAATAGAACAAATGTGTTCAAACTCAGCTATAGCCTGGAGCATCAATACAGAAAACGTGTCACCTCCAAGGGGCACAAAGGAGGGACATGGGAGCAGGGAGAACTGTGTGGGATAAATCACACTGTGCTGGTGTAAAACCTCCCTGGAGCTGGGAGGAAAGGGGCTGGTGCCTGTTGTGCATCCTGGGAGAAGTGGTACCCACCATCTCCATCACCCATGACAGCAACAGCAAGGAGGGGAGGTGATAGCACACCTGGCAGGACAGGCCAGGTTGGATGGCCAGCTTTGGGATGCTGCACGATAGAAGAAACCACAGCCAAAGTGTATTTGTGAACAATACAGAGCAGGAGGGCCCTTGAAAACATGTAATTAGCTCATTAAAGAGACAAATACAAGTCACTAATGAGATATTAGAGTTAATTAAATGCTTTCCCCATCTTTAATTAGGGGAAAAGTAGTTAACTCAGATTAAACTAATTTCTGCAGCCTCCCATGTTGGCTCTCCTATGGCTGCAGGTTTCAAAATCTATTGTGATTATTGAGCTGAAAGGGCAGAGGCTGGGGTTTTGCCTGCTTTGCTTGGGTGAATTAGAGGGAAGCAGGGAATTTCATCCTCAGGGTTAGAAATTCCCTGCTTTATCATCTGGGTTACTCCAGGAACATAAGAAGGTATGTGATATACAACTCCCTCTCCCTCTGCAAGGTCTCTCCCTAAACCCAGACCTGGCATTTATTCAAAGCTACTGCCTCTAATTGCTTTCCTTAACTAAGGAAACTCCTGCAGACTGTTTTCTGTCTTCAAAACATACCCCACACATGGGGTCTGCCCCTCGGCCAGCCTCACCCACTGCCCCACACGCCCCAGAGCCCAACTGCTTCCCAAAGCTTCTATTGTGGATGGCAGAGGTGTCATCCCCACGCACACACGTCCCCCCATCCACACACTTAACCTGCTCCCACTCCCCAGCCAGAATGGTCACAGTTAATAGAGATGAGCACGATTTATATGGAAGAATATTTAATCTGGTTGGGGAGGGGAGAGGGGGCATCTGTGGTTTTATTCTTTAAATATTTCTCTCTACTCCAGAAGGGTCCATTTCTCACCAGAAAAGGTCCAATATAAATTAGAACGAAGGGAGGAGGTTGCTGGTGGGGTGGCCATGGGCATCCCTGGACCACGGTGGTCACGAGCATCCCTGGACCGCGGCAGCCACGAGCATCCCTGGACTGTGGTCCTGGCCCCCCACACTGCTGGGGCAGACCAGGTCCCACCGTGGCAGCCTGCCCTATGGATGGCTCAGTCCCAGCCAAAGTCCTGCCCTGTCATCTGATAAAACTTCATGTTGAAGGGTCTGTAAAACTCCCGCAGGCGCTGGACCACCTGCACGTCGATTTTGGGATGCGCCCGCCCCTTGGATTTCCCCAGGCAGCGGGGCTTGCTGCTGCCCTCTGGCTTCTTCAGGCAAGGAAAGCCCTTGGTCTCATTAAAATAGAAGTGTTTGTCCGTCACCACCCTCTTGAGACCCAGGAAGTCCTGGACACGGCCCATCTCCCCGGCCGGGTCGCTGACGAGCCTCTCCCCACTGACAAAGAGGAACTTGGAGAGGGGGAAGTACTGGAGCCAGTTATCCAGGTGCTTGGCGTAGATCCCGATCCTCACCGCGCTCCAGCTGGTGTCGATCAGTCCCGTGCTGATGTTTTTGAAGGCCAGGGCCTGGAAGCTGGGGATGGTGGGGTTTTTGGAGAGCGTCTGTGTGTAGTCCGAGATGGCGCGGGTGACCGGGTTCCGCACCACCACGATCAGCTTTGTGTCCCGGGACATGTTGTAGATGCGCCGAGGAGCCTCCTTGGTGACGAAGTAGCTGGGAGTCTTCTCCATGGTGATCTGCCCCTCCAGTGTGCGCGGCATCAGGCTCCTGGGGAGACAAAGGGACCTGGTCAGGGCTCAAGGCACAGAGGCTCCGATGTGGTGTTGTGATGGGAACACACAGGTGCAAGCCCCAAAACGCAGCTAGGAATGGCCAAGGGTCTCCAATCACAACCACCTCTCTCCTTCCCCTCCTGCCAGTGAGCAGCACTGCCTTGTCACATCCCATCAGTCACCTCCTCATCTTCAAAAGCCTTTGAGGAGCCCCCATACCTGGGTCTCTCCTTTCTGCTCACCTTGTCTCAGCCTCCCCACCAGGCTCTGCCCCCAGTAAGGGACTCCCTGCCACTGTCCCTCCAGCAGCACCATCCAGAGGGCACTTGCAGGCAGTCGGTCCCCTTCAGCCTCCTTCCCAACCCTGGAAATCCCTCTCGCTTCTTCCTCCTCACCCCAGTGGGTTACACACACGTTTTGGGATGGGGCTGGTTTCTTCCCATCCCATCATGTCCCAGAGGCGCCAACGCGTCACATCGGGTTGCAAAGAGGAAGATCTCGCTATGGGGTGTGCATCCTCAGGCTAAGCCGTAGTGAGAGCTGGGGATGGAGATGCCCACCAGGGCTCCCACCTCCTTCTCCTCCAGCCAGCAAGCAGTTAAGGCCAGAAAAAGACTGTTTCCTTCTTTACAAAGAGGCAGAAAACCCTGTCAGGGCCCAGCATTGTGCTGGGTAGAGCTCACTGCCCTGATTGTTCCCTCCTGCACTTTAATGAGGCGTTAATTGCCGGAGAAATTACCCAGCCCTGAGGAGAACCAGGGGCTGCAGAACAGGTCCCTGCTGTCACCAGCACAGGCACCTGCCCCAGAGCCCTTCATGGGCAGGGGCACCTTCCACTACAGCAGGTTGCTCAGATACACATAATGCATAGAAAGAATAAGCATGGGGTTTTGCTCCTAGCTAGGACTTTAGTTAGCAGATGGCAGAGCACTTAACCCAGCAGGCAAGGGCTGGTTTACAACGGGAAACAGAGGCACCAAGTGATGACATGGCTTGTGAAGGAGCTGCTGTCTAAATGCCTGCATTCACCCAGCCAGCAAACACCCACTGTCCTGGCCCAAGATCATTTGTATGGGGCAGCAAGCACACAGAGATCCAACCCAAGTGGTTCTATACCCAAAGGGATCGTAGGATGAGCACCAAGGATATTAACTGTGACAAGGCCAGGTTGGATGCAGGGGCTTGGAGCAAGCTGCTCTAGTGGAAGGTGTCCCTGCCTGTGGCAGGGGTTGGAACTGGATGAGCTTTAAGGTCCCTTCAACCCAAACCAGCCTGGGATTTTATGTTAAAATTAAGCCAATAAAAATCAAGTCTAACTGAGATGTTTCACTTGACCAAAAGGAGACAGCTGGGACTGGGCACTGTTTCCTATGAGGATTTTCCAGTTTGCCTCAATTTGGAAGAATTCTGGTTTTAAAACACAAGGTGCCCACGGGGCTGCTCCAGCCTGTGTCCCTTAGGGCTTACAGGAAAGGCGAGGAGCATCCCCCTGCCCCATGCATCCATCTCCCTCACCCAGGCGGGGGCTTAATGATGCTTATTCAAGGCCAACCTGACCCACAAAGGGCAGGGAGAGCTCCAAAACCCTGCTTAGGGAATGGTGGCAGCGCAGGAGGATGAGGATGAGGATGAGGATGAGGATGGACCTTCCCACCTGGGTCCCACAGCAGGGCCAGCTCTTGGAGGCAGCACAGGGGTTTTTAGTGGTCCCCATCCCATGCTCCATCCCACAGCAGGAGGGGACCGGCCATGCTGCAGCCAGGGCTGAGCTGTGGGGAAGCCAAGGCTCTGCCCAGCCCCATCTGTTCCTTATGTAATGGGAAAAGGCTTGAGGTTTCTGGGATTTTTCCCCTGGACGCAGGAAAGAACACTTTATTAAAAGCATTTGCTGGGCCCTGCACAGCTCCCTCCCCCAGACAAGAGGCAAAAGCCACTTATGGCTTTCCCTCCTCTTTTCCTTCTATGGTTTTGGGCAGCGCCACTGTTTTCCGAGCCACTTCTGATCCCTGGATCCTGTGATGCCCGAGCAGGCGAGATGCCCTGTGGGGTACGTGCATCCCAGGGCAGCAAGGTGTTTTCCCATCCTTTCCAGCACCTTTCCTCACTGCCCCACATAACTGTGCTCATAGAGGTGCGCACTGTGGGCATTGGAGGTGTCCAAGGCCAGGTTGGACAGGGCTTGGAGCAACCTGCTCTAGTGGAAGGTGGGGTTGGAACTGGATGAGCTTTAAGGTCCCTTCAACCCAAACCACTCCCTGATTCAATGATTCCCACTGGGAAGCACCTTCCCAAACCAGGATCAAGCTCTTACAGCCCCATCCCCTGCCAGGAGCAAAGCAAACCCAACAGGACATCTCTGAACACAGCTCCTAGCACCCCTCCAGCCTGCTGCTTGGGCTTCCACACCACCAAAGTGTGTTTAACACTAAATACACCAAGAAACCTGGCACAGGGGTTGCCAGGCTGCTCCAGGCAGCTCCTCTGGGTGGGTTGTTGAGGAATTTCTGCAGCGCTTCCCTGGCCCTTTCCAACCTTTTCCAACCCTATTCTGTGACTCGATGATTCTGTAACACTGGGGTCTCTGCACAGCAAAATAGCTCCTTGCAATAAAGCATTTATTAGCAAGCCCTTGGGATGACGTGATTTGGGATCCCAGAGAGTCCACGTGAAACTGCTTTTCCTCAAGCTGTGCTCCAGAGCCCAGCACTGGTTGTACCCGAGCTCAGGAATGCAGGGCTGTGCCCAGCTTTGGGACAAGGCGATGGTTTGGGTTTGCTGCTGTTGCCATCATGGTGTTCCCAAGGACATAAAGCAGAGCGATGGGAGCCAGATGCCTCAGTAAAAGAGTCAATAAAAGCCATTTCACCCTGCTTGTTCCGTATTGCAGAGGGACAAGGGCCAGGGTGAGCCTCATGGTGCTGGGACCATCACTAGGGGGTCTGTGGGGTGGAGGGGCCTCCTGGATCCCCCTCCTCACAGGCAACGTGCAGCCATCAGTACCAGCATCTTCCCTGCCCTCATCCTGCTGACCAAGGGCTTCTCAACTCACACCAACTGCACCTACTGTAATTAAAGCAAACCACAGCATCCTTGGCTTAATTAAAATGTCATTAAAACAGAATCATTAATAAAAGCCCATGGTGGGGCAGGGATTCCCAGCTCTGCTGGAGCTGCAGTTCCTGTGCGTGTGAGCCGTGATGGGGTGCAGAGACCTTCCTCCCCACTAACACAGCCTCATGTCCCCAGCCAGGAACAGCAATAGGGTAGTGATGTTCCATGGACCTCAAGGCTGGTCCATCAGAGCCATAAGCTCTGCAAACCAGTGCTTACATGGACCCTCAGGTAGGTTTTGCTTTAAACTCTTGGGTAACTCCACCTCCACCGACCAGAGGAGCTGGATCCCAGCATCACCCCAGTACCACATCACAGCAGCAGCCTCCCAGCAGTTATGGTGCAACACCTCCTCTTCCTCAGCAGCTCAGTCACTCCCAGCCACTTGCAAGATAATTGCGGTACTTCACATTTTCATTAACTCCTTACTACTTCCCCCTAAATGACCCCAGTTAATTATTGCTGACCCCTGTCTCCCTCCAGATCTGCCTTAAACTGGCAAAGAGCAGGCCAGGCTGCTGCAGGCCCCATTTTAGCACTGGAAACTAAATTCACAGCCAATTCTTAAGAGAGTGCATTGGGAATGCTGAGCATCACCTACAGGTACATGACACTGCAGGGAGGGGGAGCACCTCAGAAACCTTGGAGGGGAAGCGTACTTCAATGTATGCTCCATGTGCCCCAGAGGAAGGATGAAACTCTTTTGCCTTCCTATTAAGCTGATCCATTTCAATTTTAATAAGTAGTAAAACCACTATCTGAGAGGCATCAGAGGTGGGGTTTCCTAAAGAGATATCCAACATGTGAAAGGAAACAGCAAAATCACAGAGAGGGATCGAAAATGTCTAAATTTACACATCATTTGACTAAGTTTTCCTTTCAATCCATCCGGGTGAACCCTTCTCATCCTCCTCCCATCCTCCAGGCTGTGGTCACCTCCTGCTCTGCACTGGCTGCTGTGGCCATGCACTGAGGGCTGAGCCAGCAAGTCTGTAGCATCCCCTTATTGCTTCCAACCCAGACGCAATTCAAGGGATTCTGAAGCTCTCCAGGACATTCCCTCTATTATAATCAGTGGGAATTTGCAGATTTGCTGTGCTCCCAGGCGCCCTCATTTAGATGAATTACCTCCTCTGCAGAGGTAGCAAGGTGCAGTAGCTTACAGCCCTGATGAAAATGCAGAGAGCTGCATGAAATAATCAATAAGCAAAGCAAACTTCCAAATACTGGGATGACAAAACTTTCCAGGGTCAATCGGTTCAGGATTCCTTGACTCTGGCGTGATTTTGTTGCAGATGAAGGAGAACTCCTCCAGCATCAAGCTGAGAGCATGCAGTAATGGATGTGCCCATCAGAGGACAACCTCAGTGATAAAGTCTCCAGCCCAAGCGTACCCCTGTGTTAGCACCCACCCACATTAGCATGTGGGATAATCCATGACTCATGCCCCAAAACACACCAGCATCATTGGGAGTATGAGGTGAGGCCCCAAAACCCCAGTTAACCACAGGGTGACGGATGCCATCCAGATCAGGGCTTGCAGGCCCTATGGTGTCACTAAAAGTGGAATAGAAAAGAGGGGGAAAAGCCTTTCCATTATTATTATTAAACACCCCAAGTGCTGACAAAACCAGCCCCAACAAAAGCCAGCGAGAGGCCAGGGGGGTTCTGCTGCAGGGGATATGGTTGAGAGCTTTCTGCAGGACCAAAGAGGCTCTTTCAAGGCGATGAGATGGGTGATGAGGGGACAAAACCAGCCAAGGACAGCCCCAGCTTAGCTCCGCTTGCCCAGCCCAGCCTTGTCTGGGCAGGGGGACACCCACCAGCACCCGGTTCCAAGGCACCTCCTCTCTCAAGGCAGGGTGAGAGGCTGCCCGGGACGGG